GACGATCAGATGAAATGTCTGAGTGGGAGCTCGGGCAGGTTGGAGCCGGCGGGATGTTTTGGTTTAGTCGGTGGACCAGAGAGAAGCTGCTTTTACTCCTTATGGAGATGTGAGGATGTGCTTTTATGGTTGTGGATGTCAGAAAATACTTTTACATTAGTGTACGAGTGTGGTCGCTTGGATCGAATTACAACCTCTTCCAAAACCTGTTTTTTAAAAACTTGTGTAACTTTGGGGTGACATTACATTTACACTATAGTTGCGTCCTCTTGCTGTCAATATACAAGTACACATATATTGTCTGTAAAGATCTGAGATCCTGATTGAATTGGATCACTAGCAGGTGAAACATTTCCAACAAGGTGTTTTTCCCACTGTGGAGATAAGTATGCCAGAAGAGGATGATGAAAGGATTCCTCTTCATCTGAACCTTACAGAGATAAGTATCACATCATCTAAAAAGAACGTCAAAACCTATTCGGGTCGGACTCAGCTTGGAATAAACTTGATTTGTTTTAAAGTTTAAAAGAATGTATACCCGTCAATGTGTGCACTGATTCTCCAAAGAGCCTTCCTGTTAGCAAGCTTGTGCAAACACTCAGAAAACCTGCGTCTGCCAGATGGAAATATATGCGCAAACAAAAACAAAAAACAAAAATGCAAAGCTAATCTCTTAAAGGTGTAGCTACCTGGAGAGTTGCCTTGTTTCCCTTGGTGCAAACATGACATTTTAAAGATATTTATGTTCCAGCCCGATTACATTCAGCGCAGATCTGCCCCATTGTGGATCTCCTTTTTAATCCTTGAGATTCATACAGCATGCACACAACTATGTTAACAATTTAGCTCGTGTTAAAGCTATTTGTCGTTGAACACACATAATTAAAAACCAAGTGTCAGTGCTGTACAGAGGGCAAGATTAGCACCAAATGTTGTGCAGGTGATGCCAACACAACGTATCCTGACAATCTCTTTCAGTTTCATGAACATGCATCTTCCCCTCAGGATGAATTGTAATTTAATCTAGCACCATGATCAGGTCAACATCTTAATGCAAATAAGGGGTTCTTACAAAATCCTCTTTAATACTCACACACATTTAGACAGCACCTCAGACACAGCGAGATATTGCCTTTGCATTAAACCCATCCTGGTATTAGGAGCAGTTATTATAAAGCACCTGGGGAGCAGTGTTGTAAAATAACATCCCTCAAAAATACCACTCTGTGCTTGGTTTGTTTTGGGACTTGAAACGGCCACCCAGCTGTTACCAAGACTGATCTACAGCGGTCCTATAGGGGCGTTCACACCAAGTTCTTTTCCCACAATAGTTCATCAGAACTCTTTTAGTTCTGATGAACTAAAGCAGATCGCGTTCACACCGGAATAANTGTGTGTGTGTGTGTGTGTGTCTGTGTGTGTGGCCTAGCATTACTATACTTGTGGGGACCTAAATCTGTTTACACAGTCACGTGTGGGGACTCGCCTCCCTTATGGGAGGCGAGTCCCCACACGTGACTGTGTAAACAGATTTAGGTCCCCACAAGTATAGTAATGCTAGGCCACACACACAGACACACACACACACACACACACACACACACACACACACACACGTACACACACACAAACATCAATGTTGTCATCTGAGGGTTGTTAAGACCTTGCATTGACATAATGACACTATAACCGTACATCTGAGTTTAATTAAAAGTGTCCATGTTGTAAGTCCACGTTACGATATATCCGCACTTACCTGTTTGTAGTGACAACTTTGATATAAACACTATTTATAGCATTAGAACTTCTTATTTTCCAATCTTATTCGATAGACGAGGCATCCAAAGTGATCAAATATATAGAAATGAGTAACACACTATAAAAACACATTTGCATCCGCCTGCATTTTTTCAATTTGTGTACAAAAGAACCTACATTTAAAGAATATGGCAAACATTTTTCCTGTTGTTTGAATTAATGATGAAGCACGTGCCTTAAAGAGATGATCTGAAAACATGAGATCAGAGTGGAGCGATGAGGAGTCTGTACCCTGCCTAACATTAATTACACTAACAAACAGAGATGTCATATTTCCATAATGTTTTCCAGGTGCTGAGCTTCGACTGCAGCTATTTTAATGACCTCATGTCCTTGTATTCTTTTCTTCTGTAGTGCTTTAGTTGCATACACTTAGGGTTTATTTGCAGAAACAAATATAGGCCAATCGCATTGTATTTCTTCCTTAAAGCTTTTGTGCTCCAGGGACAGCTTTTATCTGTTTCTGCAAATGAACACTTCTCCTCTGTCAAGTGGATGTAAAAACACATTGATTGGCAATTTCTTTGACTGGTTTTCTGGAAATGTGTTCATATTTGCATGCAATTTTGATGGAAACTGAAACTAAAACTAGCCTTGATTGTAAATTCCTCAAAAATATAATTAAAGGTTGTAGTTGTTTCCCTCTTAAGACTTAAACTGATTCAAAAACTGCCAAAATGAACATTGTTCGGCTCAATGATTTAGTTCCTGGCAGTTCAGATGAGGAATTCCACAATAGTTCGCCCTCGGGGACAAAGATGACTAGATCAAGAAGCTTCAAATCATGTCCACACTTCGAGACAAAAATATTGTTCATGATGCTATCGACTGTAATTTAAACACAGTGAGAACAAGATCTTTACATTTAAAGCAACACTTAAAACAAAAACAATCAAAAGATAACAAAGGAAACATTTCAAGACAGACAACAGTTTCGTGGATCACATCCTCTAAAGTCTCTTTCCCCTGAGACTTGCAGGGTGGAGTCGCAGTGTCCAGTGTCCGCTCACTCTTCTGTCTCGCAGCTGGAAGATGGAGACGCGCCAAAAACAAGTTTACTCATGTTCGCTGTAATGTTCGTGTTCTCCTCAGTGAGAGAGGATGGGAAATGAGACGGTTTCTTCAGAGCTGCTGTGAAAACACTCGATGTGTGCAGAGAAAACTGAATCAGCAGGGGAAGAATTATTAATTCAAACCTGATCTGAGTCTCTGACAGATCTGTAGGTGAGGATTGTGCTGATGCACTTCTCTCCAGATGTATTTAAACAGGGCTGCACTAAGACATGTGATACCTTTATTAATGCTAAGGTCTTTTTTAAAGCCCGCGTCACACTGTCCCGAAATTGACACCCGATGGACACACGATAAAGGAAATGTTCAAATTCGGATCTGATCGCAACAACATCGGGCCATTCGTGAGGGCAGCTTAAGCCATCGTATGACCACCGGTAGAGTTTCTCAGGCTCCGGCAGCAACTTTGTGAGCAGCAACTTCGTAAGACACTCGTGAGGGCATCTTGTCAAATCGTGTCATCTTCGTGTTATCATCGGCATTCACTCTGATCGGGGCGAATGCCCGATGGCACCGAGGATAACACGAAGTAAAGACTATTTGACAAGATGCCCTAACGATGGCCTTACGAAGGGCAAAATGGACACACAAATTCAACATGAAAATGAACCTTAAGGTTTTGCCCCCGCTCACAAAGTTGCTGCCAGAGCCTGAGAAACTTCACCGGCGGTCACACGATGGCTTTAGATGCCCTCACGAACGGCCCGATGTTGCTACGATCAGAGCCGAATTTGAACATTTCCTTTATCGTGTTGTTTTATTGCACAACAAAATCATGTAAACATATTATGTAAATAACTCAATTTGTGTTCTGTGAAACTGAAAAGGATATAATTGGCGAGTTGACAGGAAGTCGTTGTTGCTATGGAAACAACATGACGGAGAAAACTTAATATCTTCTACATATACGGACGGAGAAAGTAAAGAACAAAGTCTGAAAATATCAGTACGGTATCATAGTACTTTAACATAATTGTTTTTGTTACTTTCGTTGCAGTTGTATGTCTTAAATGTAATGTAAATGTTGCCTT